GACAAAAATGCTATAAATCAAACCAAAATAAAGAAACAGAAAATTTTAAGGGATAAAACTGGGGGAAAGACCAAATAACAGGTGTCGAAACACTAATAAAAATGAGTTCTAATTGTTAAAGAAGAAAACAATGGGAAATTACATTTAAACTGAAAAATGAAGAAAGAAGAAAGAAAAAAAAGAAAAATCTACAGGGAAAATGTTGAAATTAAGAAACAAAACAAAACAAAACAAAAACCAAAGCAGTGTATATATCTTTCTGAATGTTGTCTGGGGAACAGGTGATCTTCTGGGGTATGACATGTTAGTCACAATGCTGATGCAGCTATACAAGATGGAGACTGGAGGCCTCTGCTGATTTCTACAACCCTGCATGGTGGTAAGCCTATATCTCTCCTCAGCCCACTTAAAAGTCACTTTAAACTGTTAACCTTGGCTAAGCAGAAGCTTTTCCAGGAAAGCACTTGTCATTGGGATCTCTCCTAAAGTGGCTGCCCGCTTACCCAGTGTGCCAAAACTGGTCTCACTGTATGCTTCTGAGGGCCAAGGCTGTAAGGTATCTCAGTTTCCATCTATAGGCTGCTCAGTCACTAGATTACTTGCCCAGGGTCTCCTGCCCCATCCTTGTTCTGTGACCCTGAAGTTGGAGCTTGCTGGGGCAGTTCTACAATGGCTCCACGCAGCCCACAGCCAAACACTATTAGGTCTGTCTGGCTCAGTGGCTCAGCCCTGGGCCCTAGACAATGCTTAAAGTCCTCCGCACTCTTGCCCAAGTTCTCCCAAGGTAGTTCAACTGAGTGCCAAGTCCAATAAAACAAAACAAAACTGCTCACAGGTAAGGCCTTTCTAGTTTACAATCTCACTGCTGCTGTATTTACAGCTGCTGGCAGGATTAGACTGAATAAACACATGCAACCACTTGCCAGTTCTCCACTGCTTTTGTCCTCCTCAAGGGGTCCAAAAGTCCCTCATTGACTCACTGTGTCCCCAGAGGGGTGCTTCTGGGCAGAACCCACCAGCCAGAGATGCCTAGAATTTTCTCTCCCTATTCTTACCATGCCCAGTTGCAAGAAAACTGTTACTCGGCTGCCATCTTGCTCCTCCCCATGAGCCTAGTTTTTTTATTTTTATTAGAGATGGGGTCTCATTGTTGCTCAGGGTGGTCTTGAACTCATGAGCACAAGCAATCCACCTGCCTTGGCCTCCCAGGGTGCTAGGATTACAGGTGAGAGCCACCTCATTCAGCCAAAAATTTCCTTCTTTCAAGGCTGGATGCAGTGGCTCACACCTATAATTCTAGCACTGTGAAAGGTGGAGGTGAGAAGATTGCTTGAGGCCATGAATTTGAGACCAACCTGAGCAAGAGAGAGACTCCATCTCTACAAAAAATACAAAAATTAGCTGAGTGTGGTATCACCTACCTGTAGTCCCAGCTACTCAGGAGGTTGAGGCAGGAAAATCACTTGAGCCCAGGAGTTGGAAGTTGCAAGTGGCAGTGCGCTATGATGACATTACTGCCTATAGTTCTGGAAACAGAGCAAGACCTCTGGCCTTTTAGCTTCCCTGCTGTAGGCAAATTTCTTAACCACATGAGTATAATGTGAGTAATAACTACCTTCAAGGACTATCATAGGGCCTAGAGACACTGTAAAGTGCCTAGTACTGTGTTTGGCATATAACAGCTTCTTTGTTTTTTTTTTGAGACAGAGTCTTACTATGTCACCCTCATTAGAGTGCTATGGTGTCACCGCTCACAGCAACCTCAAACTCTTAGGCTTAAGTGATTCTCTTGCCTCAGCCTCCCAAGTAGCTGGGACTACAGGTGCCTGCTACAATGCCTGGCTATTTTTTGGTTGTAGTTGTCTTTGTTGTTTGGCAGGCCTGGGCTGGGTTCAAACCCTCCAGCTCTGGTGTATGTGGCTGGCACCCTAGTCACTGAGCTATAGGCACTGAGCCACATATAATAGCTTCTTAATAAATGGTGGTTATTACTCTTTTCACTCCTACTCATTTCTTCTTTTAAACTGCTACATTTATTTTTTATTCAGGTTACATGATCCTTTTCTCTCTCTGTGTGTGTGTGTTATAGTGCTTTATGCATATTGCACAAAATTAAAAATAACTGTGTCATGAGTTGAATTCTATTGTCCCAAAATATGGTGAAGTCCTAATCCAGAACCTCAGAATATGACCTTATTTGAAACAGGGTCACTGCAGAGGTAATTAACTTTAATGAGATCATATTGGGGTAGATTGAGCCCCTAATCTGATTGGTGCCCTTATAAGAAGAGGGAAATTCGGATACTACACACAAAGGGAAGACAGATGTGAAGACACACTAGGGAAGATAGTCATGTGGCCACCAAGGCAGAAATTGGAATCATGCAGTATAAGCTAAGGAGTGCCAAGAAGTGTCAGCAACCACCAGAAGCTAGAAAGAGGCAAGGAAGCATTCTCCTCTACAGGTTTCAGAGGAAGCATGGCTCTGCTATCACTTTGATTTAGGACCTCTAGCCTCTGTAGCTATGAGAAAATAAATTTCTGTGGTTTTAAGCCATCCAGTTTTGGGTATTTGTTATGGCATCCCCCTGTGCAACTAATACAAACTGTGATAACTTTCCATAGGTAGTTCCAAAACAAACTTTGGTACATCCATACAATCATAGGAAATCCAAAAGACATTATTTTGAGTGAAAAAAGCCAGTCTCCAGAGGTTACATCGTATATGATTCCATTTATATGAAAAACCTATAGAGAAGGAAAATAGATCAGTGTTTGCCATAGGTTGGGGTGGGGTGAATGTTTGACTACAAAGGGGAAGCATGAGGGAAATTTTTGGAGTCAGGGAACTGCTCTGTATCTTGATTGTGGCGGTAGTAACCTAAATCTGTGTGTGTTAAAACTCAGAACTGTGTAACCAAAAATAGTTAATTTTGTGGTATGTTGATTTAGATACTTAAAAACAGGAAAGCATGGGCACACACATGTATATACACATACGCTTATATATACCTAAATAATTTTCTTTTAAAAATGCTTTACAAGAAATTTTCCATCTGAATTTCTGCCAGAAAGGCTGTTTTGTGGAGGCTCTGCCACACTGACCCTTGTGTTCCATGGGCCTGTTTTTCCATCTGTAAAAGGAGGGGATCTGTCTAGAGCAGTGATTGTCTAATTGTGTCCTAGTCACTCTCTTTGTGGAAGTTGGGGAGTGATGATGGGTTTGGAGAGAAAGGACATGCAGACTTTGCTGGGCTCTGGACAAACATGTATTATTCAACTGGAGTAATTGTACTTTTATCTCATATATATATGGTTTGTTTTGTTTTCTAAAAAGCTCTGGATTAGAATAGGTGAATCCAAGGCAGAACCCCAGGCACCTGGATAGTCTGAACAATCCTGGATTCCAAGACCTACATGTGGAGTTTACTTGTTCATCCCTTTTGCAAGTGTCCCTGTGGATCCTGGTAGCTAGAAGGATCCAGGCTGTTGGCTCTAACAGTGATTCTAAACAAGGTGTTTGAGGGGGAACTAGAATTGTGCTTCTTCATGACCCCTTGGATGCACGTGGATTAAACACAATGGGATCTCTGAAAAGGCTCTAAACCTAGGTCTCCTCTGAGGTTTAGTCCAAAAGGACCCTAAACCATTTGTTTTTACACAGTGGACTTTTTTTTTTTTTTTTTTGATGAGTACTGTGTAAACAACAAAGGGCTGTGTACAGATGGGGAAAATGTCATTATGAGGATGTGTGCTGACCCCAAACCAGCAGGGCCAAAGAGTATCATTGCCCTTTACTTCTACCATGAAACAATTTATGTGCCAGGTACTGTGCTAAGGTCTAGTTCTTATAACAGCTCTGTGGGAGAAGGTGTGTCATTGTTTTGATAGGTGAGGAAACTGAGGCTCTAAGAGAGGCCCTGGGTCATAATAGCAGGAGATGTCAAAGGTGACAGGGTTGGGTCATAGCCAGCAGCTCCAGTCTCCCAAACCAGCAAGGTCCATGAGAGGAACCCCTGAGGCCTAGTGTCAGGCCTGCTCTGTCTCAGTACCTGCCCTGGGAAAAGAACTATTGTTCCTTTCACAAAGGCTGGTGAGGGTTCACTGAGGACACCTTGAGACCTTACTATCTAGTATAGCACTAAAAAAAAAAAATTACAATATTTTTATACTTTATAGAGTGAAATATTTTCTTCAAAAACTAATGTATAATCCAATCTACAAAACCAGACATAGGTGGTGCCTGTAGCTCAGTGGATAGGGCGCTGGCCACATACACCCAGGCTGGTGGGTCAGAACCACGCCCCAGCCTGCTAAAACAACAATGACAATGGCAACAAAAAAATAGCGGGGAGTTGTGGTGGGTGCCTGTAGTCCCACCTACTTGGGAGGCTGAGGCAAGAGAAATGCTTAAACCTGAGTTGGAGATTACTGTGAGCTGTGACGCGGCACTCTACCAAGGGCGACATAATAAGACTGTCTCAAAACACAAAAAAAAAAGAAGGAAAGAAAACCAGACATAGACCACTGTGGTTGAAAGTGGTGGCAAGGGTAGCCTGAGACTCACCCAGGGCTCCTGGACCACTTGAAGTTCAGTTATCCAGTAGGTTGGCATATACTAGGAGAAGCACAAAGGGTGCTAAAGAACTAGATGGGATTCCAGAAGACTCACTCCTGGGTTAGCCAGTCTCAAGCTGGGGTTGGGATTCTAGGCCTGCCACATGTTTGGTGCTGCTGACATGTCTATCTGAGATGGGCATCATCTGTACCACCCTGTTTCCGCCAGGCCCCAGCAGCCCGACCTGCTTCCCACAAAATAAGAAACATTTTCACCATCATACACTTAGTGAATTTTATTCTTTAAAGATGTTAAAAACTCCATCTGCCCTCCTTTTTTCCTTGCTGGTCTACAAGGCATCATCCTGTTTTCTCTACCAACAAGACATCAGTGTTCAAGTTTGCTGTTGGATCGCGGCAGATGTCGGGCTGACTGGGATGGCTCACAACGGCATCATCAAATTCAAGTCTTTCTCATAGATATCGGGAATCACACCAACCGGCGAGTTGACCATGTGCACGGTGTTCTTACTAAACAGCTTGAATTCATAATGGATGAGCTGTTCCCAAAAGCCGTTGTTGGGCCGAATGATGGGGCGGCACGACTTGGCCCATGTGTGGGCGTCCAGCAGAGTCATGGCATGGTATTTCATGAGATAGGCAAGGCAAAGGGCAGCTGAGCGGCTCACTCCAGCAGCGCAGTGCAGCAATGTGCGGCCCTGCTTCATTTCCACGCTGTGGATGTGATCAGCAATTGGGTCAAAAAAGTCATAGAGGGACGAGGTGGGAACGTCTGCCACAGGTACCTGTACATATTGAATATCCTCGAAGAACGTGTTCGCCACCTCCACTGACACGTTGATGACCGTTGTGATGCGATTGCTGGACAACATGTGTTTGTTGTTGGCAGCCACACCATTGCTGATGTACAGGCTGTTGGTTATCTGGGAGAGGCCATGGATGGTGGGCTGCCGGCCAGCCTGAGATGGAAGAGAACTTGGGGAGGTTGTCATCAAGGCGGCTGGTCAGTGGCCTCTGTATGCTGGTTCAGGGCACCACCCTTGAAGGTGAGTTCAGGAAAACAGCCCTGCCGCGAAGTCTACTACGAGAGTTTTGGGGAAACAGGACTGGTCACCACTGTCTTCTACTCTGCTCTTGCCACTCCCACCCTGTGCGTCACAATCCCCAACAGCCAGGTGGTGGCGCTCTGGTTTCCATGGCAATGGCCATTTGCCGCAGTCAGGGCAAGGACCTCTGAGCCAGATCTTCAGAGAAATCTGAGATTTTTCCTTTTTTTGGCCAGGGTTGGATTTGAACTGACCACCTCCGGCATATGGGGCTGGCGACCTATTCCTTTGAGCCACAGGTGCCACCCCCAGATTTTTCCTTTTTTATCTTTCTACATGGTAGTTTATTTTCCAAGGTCTAATTCTTATGTTTCTTTCCTTTTTACAATGTTTTGATAGAAGATGTCTATTTTACGCTTCAATTATTTGACCAGACTGAACACAATATCTATGAATACTTCTATTCCACTAGCGTTGGAAAACAGGACTTACACTTTGTCTGCAAAATAGCAGCATCATATTTTAAGTTGGGAAACAGTGCTGGGCTCATGTGATTTGCTAATCTCTCTAAAATTATAGAGAGATATGGCTGGACTTGGTGGGCTGGCCTGATAATTCTTTGTCCTGCTTACAAACATATCAGGGATAGTTGTAAGGGGAGGAGTATTGCTAACTGATATAGAGCCCATTATCTATCATGGAGTTGGCCTGTGGTCAACATTGTGACTAATTTAGCAATGTCACAGTCCATTTATATATATAGCTCAAATGATTTATCACTCAATTTTACTTTATTGCCCAAAACAGCTCACATTATCTTATCTACTTTCTTCAAAAAGAATGCCCACATCCTTTGTAAATTACAAGTTACTCTGTCCACCACTGATAGTGTCTTCACAGTAATATTAAATATTCTAGAACAAATTAATGCTACTTGGTAATTGGGGCAAAAATTTGACTTTTAAAATGTTACCTGACATTTACATTTCATCTCAAATAAGGTTTTTGTAGAATTTGGCTGAAAATCAAGAAGAACTATAAACTAACCTAACAAATTGTTTCACAGAGTTGCCATGAGACTCAAATATTTCACTCTACTTCCATAATCATTTTGGTTTGTGTGCAAAGGTGTGCTGTGATTATGAACAATGATGAAATAGATGCCAGCCTTTTGTAATGATCAAGAAAATGACAACCTTAAGACACAGCACACTTTTCTTTCTCTCAGTTGTCATAATCAAATTATTTTGCATTACTCAAATTGTCAGTCCCCACAAGGCTATCTGAAAGGAATCAGAACACAAACACTAAATAAATATGAAACTGCCCATTTGGAATAGCTCAATTGGGCTAAAGTTATTTAAGAGTTTATTCTAACATCTCACACAGGGTATTAAGAAGACCTTTGTAATCTATGGAGTAATGTGGAAGCCCTAAAAGAGTATATTATTTCATAAGCATAAATTTATTTATTTTTTTTTGAGATAGTCTTGCTTTATCACCTGTGCTGAAGTGCAGAGGCATCAGCCTAGCTCACTGCAACCTCAAACTCCTTAGCTCAAGTGATCCTCCTATCTTAGACTCCCAAGTAGCTGGGACTATAAGCCTTCACTACTGTACCTGACTAATTTTTCTATTTTTAGTAGAGATGGAGGTCTTGCTATTTGTTCAAACTTATCTGGAATTCCTGGCTTCAAGCAGTCCTCCCACCTTGGCCTCCCAAAAGTTCTGGGTTTACAGGCATGAGCCACCACACCCAGCCAGACCTACACTTCTTAAACTTTAAAAATATATTGAAATACAAGTGTGTTACCTCCCACCTGTAATCCTAGCACTTTAAGAGACCAAGGAGGGAGGATCACTTGAAATTAGGAGTTCAAGACCAGTCTGGGCAACATAGCAAAACCTCATCTGTGCAAAAAATAGAAAAATTAGCCAGACATGGTGACACGTGCCTATAGTCCTGGCTAATTGGGAGATTGAGGTAGGAAGATTGCTTGAGCTCAGGCCTTCAAAGTTGCAGTAAAGGATGATCATGCCACTGCTCTCTACCCCAAGTGATAGAGAGAGATCTTGTCTCAAAAATAATTATAAAATTAACCAAAATAATTTCAGACACTATTCTCAGATACAAGCAAGACCAATATTAAACACATATTCATTTATTCTTTCATAGTCTGTGATATTTGGATGTCTTAAAGTCTTTTCTTGGGTAGATCAGGTGTTGGCCTTTCCTTTCCTTGGGTCTTGAAACAGGTCACTTTGAGATTCCCACTTGTCTCTACATTTCCTAGTTATTCAGTAAAGAAAATGTATAAGGGACTTGCCCAAGAACACATTCTCTTTACACCACTGTGAAAAGACCCTGGATGTTAAGAGGTGATTCATCTTTAGATTTCTCAATTCAGTAGTCAAGGCTCTTTCCAATTTGATCTAAGCCTGCCTTTCAAATCTCATTCATTCATTTATTCATCAGATTTTTATTAATAATCTATGGTATACATTAAGCATCTATACTAGGCATTTTCACCTATACAATTCCTCAGTTCTGACCAAATGAATAAAATATTCCTGGTAAATACAAAATTTACAATCCTGCTACCTTAACCTTTGCCATTCATTCCTCTCACTTGAGAAAAATCTTCACTTTTATCTGCTTCCTGTAGCCTAAGTTTCAAGAGTCAGATCTATTAATTGGAAAGAGGATTAGGCTAGGCACAATCCTAGCACTCTGGGAGGCCAAAGCAGAAAGATTGCTTGAACTCAGGAGCTTAAGAACAGCCTGAGCAAGAGCAAGACCCTGTCTCTACTAAAAACAGAAAAATTTACCAGGTGTTGTGGTAGGTGTTTGTAATTCCAGCTACTCAGAACACTAAGGCAGGAGGATCACTTAAACCCAGGAGTTTGAGGTTGCTGTAAGCTGGGATGATGCCATGGCACTCTAGCCTGGGCAACAGAGTGAGTCTCTGTCTCAAATTTGAATTTAAAAATATATTAAAATACAAGTGTGTTATTTGAGACAGAGACTCACTCTGTTGCCCAGGCTAGAGTGAGATATATATATGCATATATATGAAAAGAGGATCAAATGAGCATCCATTTTCCAGTTTGTATCAGGCATAGTCCTAGTATGGTGTAGATACAACACAACACAGAGCCTTATTTACAAGAGCTTATAGTTTAGTCAGAGAGATAGGTAATCTTGGAAGAGTCCAGAAGAGAGGGTTATTCATTGTTTTATGTATTTGAGAGCCAGGGCAGTAGGGGGATGTCATGGAAGACTTCACAGAAAACATGACCAGAAACAAAGCTTTTTATTTGTTTTTGTTATTTATTGTTTATTCTGCCCAAGTTTCATTTTGAAAAATATCCAACCTATAAAAAAGCTGTAAGAATAGAACAATAAACATCTGTTTATTTTTTACCTATAATTCATGCATTGTTAACTTTGCCACTTTTGCTTTATAAATCTATTTAGATATACAAACATACATATTTATTTATTTGCTTGTTTCTTTTTGCTGAATCATTGAGAGTTTATTGCAGATAAAGTAACACTTTAACTCTTTAGCACGTATTTCCTAAGAACAAATACATTCTACCTAATAGTACAATGACCATATCCAGAAATATGATCCCATATTGTTATCTAATATGTAAACGATATTCATCTTTCCTGAAGCAGCAGGTAAAAAGAAAGAAAAAAATATATAACTCATATTCAAATTTTATGAATTTTCCCGCTAATATTATTTATAGTTCCTTTTTTTCCCTTTTAATACAGTATAGAATCAAGTCTCAACATTGCATTTAATTGTCACATTTCTCTAGCATTTTCTATTTTTTAATTTTATTTATTTATTTTTGAGACAGAATCTCACTTTGTTGTTTTCTGTAGAGTGCTGTGACATTATAGCTCACAGCAACTTCAAACTCTTGGGTTCAAGTGATTCTCTTGCCTCAGCCTCCCAAGTAGCTACTCCCAAGGGACTACAGGTGCCCACCACAACACCTGGCTATTTTTTCAGAGACGGGGTCTCACTCTGGCTCAGGCTGGTCTTGAACCCATCAGCTCAGGCAATCCACCCACCTTGGCCCCTCAGAGTTCTAGAATTAGAGGCATGAGCCACTGCCCTGGCCCTGTCTTTAGTGTCTTTTAATTTGGAACAGTTTCTGAGAATTTTATTTTGGTCTTTATTGACATTGGTATTTTTGAAGAGCTCAAGCCAGTTTTGCAGAACATTGTTCAACTTGGATTTGTTTGATTGATTCCTCAGGATAGATTCAGGTGAAATATTTTTGGCAAGAATGCCACCAGACTATGATTCTATATACATTGTATCAGGGGGCCTGTGTTATTTGTTTGTCTCATTAATGATAATAATAATTTTGACCACTTGGTTAGGGTGGCATTAGCTAGACTTCTTTAATCTAAAAGAAGCTTTTCCTCTTTGTCAGTAATAGGGAATATGTGGGGTGGTAATTTAAGTTTGTGGGACTTTCTTTGGAACAGCACTTTGAAGAAAAAATAGTTCTTCAGGCAGACAAGGAGAAGAGAACCTTCTAGACAGAAAAGAAGTATATACAAAGGCACAAAGGTATGAAATAGTGTGTCAAGAAGGCAGAGAACAACTCAAAATTGCTAGAGTATACAGAATGAGTCACGAGAAATAGCAGGTAGGATGGCTTAGGGATCCCAAAGAGCCTTAAAGCAGGACCTTGAGCTTGATCCTGTTGGTCAGATGACATATTGCAGTCCTTTTTGCAGGGAAATGTCATCACCAGAACAGATTTCTAGGAAGCTCACTTACAGCTATGTGGATGGGAGGAGCTAAGATGGCCGGCTGGAGCCAGCTTTCAATAGAAGCTCCCATCCTGAGGGAGAGTTAATGGCCAGAATGAACCCAGTAAAGCTGAAGGTCAGGAGCTGAGCTGGGACAGAAGAC